CAAGGCCAGGCTGGAGGTGGCCTTGGGCAACCTGGGCTGGTGGGAGGTGTCCCTGCCCATGGCAGGGGGGTTGGAACTCTATGATCTTCAAAGTCTTTTCCAACCTAAACCATTCTATGATCATATATTATCATGTTATGTCCTCCAGGGAGGGGAACCCCCAAATTTGCTCCCCCAAAGCCACGGACACGCCAGTTCCTCGGGGGTTTCTCATTTACCAGCTCCTCCCGGCTGTCGACGGTGGCCAAATGGGCGCCCAGAGAAAGGCAGGAGACGGCGCTCCCGTTCCAATCCGCTTCATCCTCCACGAAATAAAAGCACTTCTCCCCGTACCCGATGCCATTTTCCCGGCAGCCGGGAAGGACGGGAGAAGGGTAGGATGGACAGGACGGGCATTTCTTTGCTGGAAAAGAGCGGAACATGTTCCTGGGGACTTAAACACCGGTGGGTTTTCTCCAGAGGAGATGATTTGGGTGGTGGACACCTCCACCCTCACCCGCTTACCCGCCAGGGCGATGATGGTGAGAAGCAGCGCCGCTACGACCACGGTGACCCCGATGGGGATTTTTTTATCTTTAATGCACTTGAGGCTGAAATCTGGGGAGAAAGCGCGTGGAAGAGGCACAGCCGGCCAACCCGTGCCACCAAGAGCACCCCAAGCTCCCCACAACCCTTCTATTCCCCCACCATAGGTGCCTTCGACACCCCGAAATACAGCCAGAAAGGACTTGGGGGTGGGGAACGGGGCGCAGGCTGAGTTTTGGGGGTGCTTCCCAGTGCTTTCATCAGCCTCCAAAGGATTTTTAGGGCTGCCTGACCTCACCGCATCCTCTCCATCCCCACCTCAACCACGAGAGATGGGCACCTGCAGACAGCTTTGCCTTTCTTACACCCTCCCCCCCGCCGCCCCCTTCACCGCAGCTATTTTAACTAAATTTTACCCCCCTCCCCGGGTAACTCTAAGCTGCGAGAACCAAAAACGACCCTAAAAGAAGACTTACTGGTGCCTTCTCCCTTCGCTCTCTGCTGCGACGACATCGTCACGGCGCTCGAGTCTTTGCCTGCGCAACAGCAAAACAGCCCGTGCAAAGGAAGCGAGTTACCGCTGGTGCGGTGAAGTTATCCAGTAGGAAATGTGTATTTTATTCTATTTTTTTTTTTTTCTCCCCCTCCCAGGACAGTCAAGGGAAAAAGCAGCGTTTTCCCTTCATCTGCTTCACGTGCAAGGAAGGGAGAGAAACACGATTTCTGCCTTCAAAAAAACCCCAGGATTCTCTTTTTCCAAGCAAACCTTGATTTTAGCGGCTGCTGTCAGCTCTGTTCGTGCCGGAGAGATGTTGTTTGAGAATCACGGAAGGGTTTGGGTTGGAAGGGACCACAAAGACCAGCTCGTTCCGTGGACCGGGGCCCCACCCCCCAGCCCAGGTTGCTCCAAGCCCCGTCCAACCTGGCCTTGAACACCTCCAGGGATGGGGCAGCCACAGCTTCTCAGGGCAACCTGCCCCAGGGGCTCACCGCCCTCAGAGTCAAGTTCTTCCTCATATCTCACCTAAATCTCCCCTCTTCCAGTGTAAAACCACTCCTCCTCATCCCACCGCTCCACTCCCTGACAAATCACTCCCCCACTTCTCCAACTCTCAGGTTCTGTCAGGTCCGATCCCCACTCCAGGACCCTCCGGTCACCCCACGTGGTGCTGGATGGTCCTTCAAAGCCACCTGAGCCACGTCCCCCAGCCCAAAGCGCAGAAACCACCCCCCTCACACGCAGGGCAGCTCTTCACGCCTCGAGGAACGGGGACGGTGCTGACGTACCTGCCTCACAAACAGCTTCTGCCATGCCCGGCGTCGCGGAGGGGACAGAAGAACCCTCCGGGGACGAGCGCGTCCCTCAACTCCACCACCACCACCAAGACGAACTGGGTCAAGAAGACCCCGAGACCGCAGCACGGCCCCGGGGACCAGCCAGGTCCTCCTCCAGCCCAGGGATTTGCCAGGATGCTCCTGCGTTCACTAAAATAAAGAGACAAAAAGGTCACAATTTCTTCCCCCCCCAAAAAAAAACCCCTCTGTGCCGCTCAGCGCAGCACTTTCTACTAAATCTCTTACTTTCCTCAAAGCTCCTTTTCTCCTTTTGCCACGTTCGCGCTGAACTATTGTTTCTCCAAACCGCCCACAATCGCATATTTGCCTACGTTGTTCTTCGCAAGCTTTTTTTCCCTAAAATTTTTTCCTCTTTTTTTTTTTTAATTCCCCCTAAATTCTTCTAGTTTTTAACCTTTCCCTGGACACAGCCCTTTCCCAAAGCCCACAGCAAAACACGAACAGATTGGGGTCTCTCCTCAGAGAAGCAAAACGGGGTCCCACAGGAGCCATTTGCAGAATATTCATATTTACAAAAAAACAAAAAAAAAAAAGCGCCCCCCAAAAAACCAGGACAAGAATCCACCAAGGCAGAACAAGGAAAAAAAAACCCGGTTGCTGTGGCCACGAGGCCTCGAAGTCACCAATAACTGCTGCTGATCTAACAAAGAGCTTCTATATTTATTAAAACGATATACCTAACCCTGGTTTATTATCAGCGTTGAAATACAAATTACAGAACCCGCACTTTAGACTTCCCTCAATTCGCAGCAAGTATTTTCCGACCTTCATGCGTTTGTAGAGATAAAAATCAAAAGGATTTATTTTCCCCTCCCCAAACACTTGATTGTATTTTTTTTTTTTTTGAATGGGGTTTCATCGACATGGCGTTTTGCTGCTCTCCCCAACACCCAAAAGTCAAATTTCTCCCGCCCCGAGGCTGCAGCTTGGTGTGTTTTTGGAGTAAAACAGGAGGTGACGGAGGAAGAGTTAAAAAAAAAAAACAAAAAAAACCACACCCCACAAGTGGGGATCAACGGAGAAACTCGATCGTCAGAAAATACTCCCAACTACACCGGGCTGGTGGCAAAAAAAAAAAAAAAAAAAAAAAAACCCCACCACCCCCGGGCGGGGGGAAAAAAAAAAAAAAAAAAAAAAAAAGACTTTTGTGTCCCCGAAAAGCACGACAAAAATGTTACAGGCGAACATTGTTCTAATTCATGGCCTCGGCGGGGGGAAACATTGCTGCCCGGTGAAGCAACGTCTTCGCAAGAGGCACGTGGAAATAAGTGAAAGGCGCTTTTGTGTAGCGCCCGAGGGGGGAAGAATCCCCGCAGCAAATAGGACTGAACCACTCGTGCCCTGACAACACCCGAATACTGCTGCAAAAAGAGAAAAACACCCTGTCGTCCGCCAAAAAAGAGAGAAAAAACGGTCCGTCGTCCGCCAAAAAAGAGAGAAAAAACATCCGTCGTCTGCCAAAAAAGCTCCTGCAGCAGCACCTTCTCCAGGGGTCAGGATTTGGGGGGCCCCCACAGCCCCTGTGGGCAGGAAAACAAGGGGGGACGGGCTCCAGCCACCACCGGCACCCCGCACTGCCACGGCTGGAGGGAGCAGCCCCCGGGGGACAGCCACCCCCTCACAGACGTGTCCTCCAGCGCTGCCAAAGCCGGGATGGAAAGTGTCCCCAGGGGCGAGGACAGGAGGGGACAGGGTTGCCTCCAGCAGGCGCCTGTCCCAACAGCAGGGAGACACACAGGAATTTGTGACACTTCTGACAAATTTTAATTAAAATTCAGTAGAAAATTTTCACAAACACGTGGCACTGACTGTAACGCTCACGGGAGCCCCACAGGGGATACATCGTCCCCGTCTCTGTTTCCCCTCTGCCCCGCACTGGGATAGGGTCCCACGCAGAGCTTTCTGTGCCCACCTCATCCGGCGGCAGCAGCTGCTGCAGCTCCAAGGCCACAGCTTAAAAGGAGGTAACCTTAAAAGGTTTGTGAGAGAAGCAGAAGTTCTGGGGTGGTCCCAGAAGGAGAAAGGAACCAGTTCTGGGCTTAAGGTCTCAGCCTGGGAAGGCACACGGCAGCTCCCACCGTGTCTCCCCACCTGCAGGTTCACCTCAGGAGAGCTGGCAGCGGGTCTGGGTCTGGCCCCGACCAAAACTCACGGCCAGCGTGTCCGGATCCAGCCTGGATCCGCAGCTGAGGGAAGGATACGCGTACAGGGCTCTGCGCTGCTGGAAGAGGTGACACTGTGAGTCCTCAGCGTGGAGAAGGGCATTTCTCCAGCACTTGTCACCTGGTTCCCATCAGCGCTTGGGGCTTGCTGCAGATGTACGGCCTCTGTTGTGAGCATCTTGAACTTGCGATAACACCATCATTCAGATACACACACACTTCCTGGCCGTGAACCACGATTCTGCAACAAGCAGCACACACACCGCTGGTACCATGGGGTTGTCAGTTGTCCCCTCAGCCACCAGGAGGAGACGAGGGCTGCCTGCAAGGGACAGCCCCAG